TGTGCGATAATACCGCTGCTATTCGTATATCAGAGAATCCAGTACAACATGATCGTACCAAGCACATCGAGATTGATCGTCACTTTATCAAAGAGAAACTCGAGGCAGATATCATCAGTCTTCCATATGTTCGATCTGAAGATCAATTGGCAGACATTCTCACAAAAGCAGTACCAGCTGGAGTCTTTCAAGCAACATTAAGCAAGTTAAACATCCGAAATGGATGATTCAACTTGAGGGGGAGTGTTAGAAATATCAAACAAAAAGGGAATAGTGTAATATCTTGATAATATCCTTGATTGGAATCAAATTACCAATCAGGATATTTGATTAACTTCCACTCACTTTCCTTGATTGTCTTCATTATTAACTTTGTAATATTTATAGACATCATTAGAGATGTATTCAATAAGATGAACATTTTTAGCTGTGAATTGATTCTATATTTCTAATAATCTACAATGACAGGCCGCACTGGCCTTTTATGTTTAAAATCCATTTTATGATCTTTCTTCTGCTACAAGATCTGTGCTTTGGTACTAGTACTAATATCTTGCCTTTTGCATTTTAGACTTTTTCCTGTCTGTCAGTCTAGGACTCGGTGGGACCGATACGCCCCAAACAAGAATGCGAAAGAGTATTAGTAATGAGAGAACATTTTCAGCTACTGGCAATGAGTCATTTCTCTATAAAAAGCTGGGTATGCATATTACTTCATATTAATTTTGTTTCTGTTGGGAGCTGTGACAAATGGCATGCTATGGGATTCAAGCTTGCAAAATGATTTTATTAAGGTTTTAAAGTACATTGGTATAATGGTATCTCATATGTCTATTTATGTATTGTTTTGCAGTGGACCTTGCAGAGATGCTTTCTGCAGAGATGGAAGAAGAAGGCCTTTCTGGGAGGACACTGACACTGAAGCTAAAAACTGCTTCTTTTGAGGTATTTTTTTTGTTACATGTGATGAGGTGTTTTGATTAGAAACTCTGCGCTCTTAATTTGTTTGTTTATCAATGGTGATTCTCAGATAAGGACTCGAGCAGTGACTTTGCCAAAGCACATCGCCTCAAAAGAGGAAATATTCAAGCATGCTTCAAAGCTTCTGAAAGCCGAGCTCCCTGTATCTTTACGTCTCATAGGTAGGTAAACTCTATTTTTTTATTTTCTTCTTCATATATTTGTCTAAGGGTTCTTGTTAAGTAATTGCACATTGAAAAATTACAAATCTACAAATTTTACATAAAATTTCTTTGGCAACTCGTCCAAATCAGTTAAACATTTAGGATGAAACTTGAGAATTGGGTTACAAAGCATAGACCTTAGACGTGGACTACTATCATATTGACCTCTAGGATAAACTTCTAATTCTTAAAAAACTATTGCATTATTTCTTTGTATGCTCCCAAGGAGCCTTTTCATCAACCATTCCAATATTTATTTTCTACAAGGACTCCGTGTTTCTCAGTTTATGGAAGAGAATGCCAACCCTTCTGATCCCACACAAAGAACACTCTCCAACTTTGTTGTTCAAGGAGATGTTGCAAGAGAGGAGGAGGACGATCATGTGCCTTCGTGCTCTGATATTAGCGAAAATCCCTTCACAGGCGACACGTGTTCCGACTTTCCCACGAAAAGCAGCGAAATATCTCAAAGAGACAAAGTCAAAGTCAATGTAATGCATTTTAACCTGTTTTTTTTAACCTCATGATGATGATGTTGATGATGACTAGCCTTGAGTGCTGGATTAAGAGAGGCTAAAAAATTCTCACTTTTTTGTTATCCAGGTGTGTGAACCCAGTGATGCTAGCAACTCATCAAGGCCATCAACAGAGTTACAGCTGGAGGTTGCCGCTAACGAAACAGGGCATTGCTCAGATGATCATGAAGAGTTTCTAGTTTGGTTGGACGGCTATAAATGCTCGCTCTGTGGTATTGAAATGCCTCCAGGTTTCATCGAAGAGAGACGAGAGCATTCCGACTTTCATGTTGCACAAAGGTTGCAAGACGAGGAATCGAATGACAACTACAGATTGCTGACCCCTAATAAGCAAAGGTAGTTTCCTATCTGTCTCTGTTGTTTTCAGTTTTCACCTTGTAGCAGCTGAGACACCTTTTGATCTGTGTACTTCATAGAATGTTCTGTTCCATTCTTTTTTTCCCCATGAAGCAGAGATGTTTCTCTCACAGTTCAAAGTTTACCCTTTAGGTCAATACAGAATGGGGCTGCAAGAAATGGAGGTGGTCAGAGAAAGAAGAAGAAATTGTCTCCTGCTTCCACCAAGTGCATTCCAATTGATTCTTTCTTTGTCAAGACAAATCAGAATTTCTAGCTTCAAAAGTTTGAATAGCAATTAGAAATTGTTTGTGTACCTTCCTTTTCTTGTACAGTATGTAATAAGCAATTATAGAAAGAATATAATGTACATTTAAAGTTTTATGATCCCACATTCTTATATACATTCAATTTTTATGATAATTTTTAAAATTATGGCCAGGCTATTTTGACACCAAGGTATAAGTGTCATATTATGACACCACCAAACTAAGGCTGAATAAACTTATACGAAAATGATATCTCTTATATTTTTATCTCTGAGCGTTAACATTGTGTAATGTCATAATTTGGTATTATATGTTGAAGTTTTACCTTATTTTTTTACATTATATATTAACACTTTTTAGCATTATACGGAGCAAATGTTATTTGGTCAAAAAACATGGAAAATTTATTTTGATATATGTAATGTGTTTTAATTCTAGTTAAGCAGTTCTTTTCTAATTCTCAATAAAGTCTCGTTATAAATTCGTAGACTTGTAATTTGAGATTTAATGTTTAAATTTTAAAGTTGAAATAGTTCAAATAGAATCCAAATCCTTGCTAAAATGAATTCAATTGCACATCCGGTTACACTTTAATTTGACAATTATGTTGTCAAAAATCATGTCTGTCCAGAATTATGTTGTCAAAAATATGGGTGTCCCCCAAGTTAGTTTTTTTTTTTTCTCATTTACAACCCATAATTTCAACAAGTTTTGTTTTCAAGCCGCTACAATATTTTTCCCCTTTCAGAGCTTCTTGTAGAAACCTCATGGAAGCAAGTCGAATGGCTGCTGCATTTACATATCATCCCAAACCCCATCATCATCTTCATCTTCATCGTTCTGCAGATCCATTCAAGAAACCATCTTCCAGACCCAGACCTTCTCCATCCCCACCAGGAGCCACCGCCAGTTCAGCCACCATCCCGACCATGGCAGAGATCATGGAGAGTTGCAGAGCCCGGAATCTGGATCTCCAGCTCCGGTCAGTGGGGCCCTTTTTCAGAGTAACGGCGAGAAACATGAGAACGCAGAACGAGGTGGGGTGGGCCCAAGGGGTGACCAGGGTCTGGTTTGGGGGCAGAATCCTGCACCTGGACTCCATTAGAATGGGGAGAGAGACGGTTGGGATGGAGAAATCCATGTTTGGGATTGGTGTTTTCGTTGGGGCAGTGGCAATCAGGCATGGGTATGATTCTGGGTGTACCAAAGCTGAGCTGCTCGCCATTAATGACTCTCTTCTCTACCACTCCAAGGTACTCCCCTCTTGTTTTGACTTTTTGTTATTTGTAAGGAAAGTTGAAAAAAGTCAAGTTTACCAAAATATCACAAATGAAAATGGGCGAAGTATATATATCAAATGGGGCGAGGGAAATGTAATAAATAAAGTATGTAGTGGCAGTTGTGGTATTTACTTCATTCGTCTCAAAATGAATTTTACGCTTTAAATTTAAAGGGTTGAAAATTTAAAAAAAGAAATGGATGAACGCTGTTAAATAGAGAGGGAAACGTTGTGATTCTTTTCCTAAAAGGAAATGAAACAAGTATAAAGTTTTGACGAGTTTGAAAATTTGACAGTTCATACCCTCCTAACCCTCTCGATGAAAAATGTTGGTACTTTTTTTGTTATTACTAGGGATTGTATTAAATTTGGATTTGTTTTAAATGAGTAGCTAGTGAGGTTCTACAAGAGAATTGGGTTCAAAGTGGTGCATGAAGTGAAGGGTGAGTCCCTGGGAGATATAGGGCACATGTTAGTTTGGGGAGGTATAGGCACCAGAATGGATGCCAACCTTGAAGATCTCCTCATCAAATGGGGCCCAAAATTCAAACCAATTGGACTCGAGACCGGGACGACACCGCAAAACTCCCGCAATTGAACTGTTTGAAAACTAGAGCTGGCTAAGTGGTCGGTCAAATATGATACTTTCATGTGTATATCATTCCTGAAATGTACTCCGTATTGTTTCTCTCTTGTAAGTAAATTTCAACCAAACCATTTTCATTTATCACATATTGGATCAATGTAAGCAATCACTTGGAGACATGGGATACATAACACACAAATCACAAATGTAGCAGCAGCATCTACAGTACATTACAACCCCCTGGGAAGCCAATGCTGGATCGAAACGTGACAGAACTCCAATGAATTCATGTTCTCTCATGCAATCCAACAAGAGGAACTTCAAATGTCGTCCTGAAAAACAAGAGGGAAACAGAAATGACACAATTGCATGTGACATCCTTGAGAACTGCACAATGTCAAAGGCCATGTTTGTTGTTTGACAGTTAAAACATAATACTGAAAGGGTCATGCTATGGTGTCAAACTTAGAGTGATCTCTGGGTTAAAGAAGCATTTTCCATACGAAAATGTTAGCTTAACAAACCAGCGAGTGGAAATGGTGTTTTCCTCCCCTCAAAAGAGAATTTCAAAATCTCAAAACCTCAGCAAAAGGTGGCACAAACCTGTAATGGGGGATCTTTTAGATCCGAAGATCTTCAATGTCTGCTAAAACATCTTTGTGTGCCATAGACTGCCTGTTTGGCAAATTAACTACTAACTGACCACAGGCACCACTTATGTCTTGTCCCATTTGCTTGCGAACTGTTGTTCGAATTCCATAGGTATCCCTCAAAATTTTCTGAAATCTGGTCACTTTCTCATCATTACTTGTTTGAAACGCACTCAGGGAACCAATAGGATTAAAAGGTATCAAGTTCACAACCTACCAAAATGTTGCAAACACAAAAGTGATCAAGTAATTGTTCACTCTTTTATGTGCTCAGTATCCAGCCACAAAAAATAATGGATGAATAACTACATTAGAAACATACCGTTAGAAATGTCTCCAGCAATTTACCAAGCTGGTGGGCATGCTGCTCCTCATCATTTACTCCATCAAGCATTATGTACTCGATAAATATTTTTTGCTGGCTAGAAATAAGAACTGAATTAGAAGTTGAAAGGGTGTTTAAATTTCAAATATGATTCGCTGACTGAGTGATGAAAAGGCAAAGAGAAGATTAAGAAAACACCTTTTCTTTTGATACACAAGCAATGCATCCATCAATTTTTCCAAAGGAAAGGCTCTGGCAGCAGGCATTATCTGACAGCGGAGATCCTGAACCGGTGCATGCAGAGACACGGCAAGGTTTATATTTGGAAGATCGGCATGGAGCTTATTAATGGCATGGATGATACCAACCTAGTCAAGATCCAATTTAAAATCGCATTATTGCTATGTAGGCATCTCAAACATAATGCACTCAGTAGGTAACTAGTGTATATAAAAATCAAGGAATCAAGGGATATATTAGTTTTTTTTAATAATCCACTCATCATACCGTTGAGACAGTAATTTTCCTTGGAGATAAATGGAATGGAGACGACGTCATAATATGAATAGCCTCCACAAGAGAAGAGTAATTGTTTAATGGTTCTCCCATTCCCTATCCAACAATTGAGTGATAAACTATAAAAAAAATGTGCAATTCAAAGCCAAAGCAGAAATGGCATGATGGTAAGTGACAGTACCATGAAAACAACATTGCGTATGGTAGAAAAAAGAGAAGCGTGGACCAACTGCTCAACAATTTCACCAGATGAAAGATTGTTTTTGAATCCCATGCTTCCTGTTGCACAAAATTTGCAGCCCATTTTGCATCCAACCTTTTAGCACAAAGTGGCTGTGAGTTTAGTTAACAAAATTGCAGCCTGATAGTTATAATACACGAGTGAGTTAAGTTCAGTAATTTTTCAACAAGAGGAACATTGCATCCAATCACATTCATCTTACCAACAAAAGCAATGCACACATTCAATGGAAGCAGTAAATGCAGAGTAGAAATGGAATGCCAAACCTGAGAAGATATGCACAGAGTTGATCTTGGTCCCCCAGAACGAGGCTTTCCATTATATATTCCCAAGCGCGAGTCGTATCTCATGATTACAGCCTCCACAAATGATCCATTCTGCAGAAGCAACAACAAGTGTTCTTAAACCAAACAGCCAAATATTGAAGCAATGTTCTCTAATTCCCTAGAGGAAGAACCTGCAGATTGATCAAATGAACAATGGGAATTCATGGAATAACAAGACTGACCTGCAGCTTGATGAGGAGCTTGGTGGTAACACCGTCACTTGATTCAACGGCGGAGTTAAGGGTGGAGAGTAAAGGTACAAACTTGGAGCGAAGCAAATGGTACGCCCCTGAAGGCAAAGATGGAATTTCATCCCATTGACAATTAGGGTTCTGCATTACATGCCTGTAACAGCGTAATCACATAGATAAACAGCGCTAAATACATGTATATGTATCGAAGAAGACGACTGTTACGAACAAGGAGACAGAGAGAGAGAGATGCGTACTTCCAGATGATAGGGATGAAGCGAGTACTGACACCAACTTGTTCGAATTCAGCTCTAAGTTGAGAAGAATCGAACACTGATTTCAATGCCATTTTTAGGTTTTATTACTTCAGTGGCTTCCTTCGATCCTGCCAGAGGCTCTTTCTCTCTGTCTCTGTGTTCGCGAGAGAGACGACGATGGGAGGTTGGCGATGGAGAGCGTACGACGGCGTATTAACTGCTCTCCGCTTTTAGGGCTTGAAATTTACTATAGCATTACAACTTAAGCCCGGTAAGAAATGATAAATTATTAGCCCAATGATATTTTCGGCTAATGCGGCCCGATATCATTCCTCCGGACTCAGGAGTCAAAACACCACCGTTATCTTGCGATGCGCCACCATTTTTCCCCGTTCTCCTTTGGCCAACTAAGCCTCATGTCACTTTCAGTTTTTCCTTTCATTTCTGTTTCGTTTTCTTGAAAATGTCTTTTCATTTCTTATTGATTTTTAATATTATTTCTAAACTTATTTTAATATAAATAATTAAATTAAAAATATAAAAAACAATAATAATTTACTTTTTCATTTTTTAAAATTATTTTTAACACTTAATTTAATTAAAATAATTAAATATATATAATAAAATAAATAATACAAACTTAGAAAACCACAAAATAAAAAACTTAAAACTAAAAAAAATCAAAAAATTAGAATTAAAAAAAGTAAAATTAGAAATAAGAAAAAGAAAAGAAGCAACAAAATAAAGATAAAAGAAAGAAGCAACACAAACAAAGAAGGAAGAAGCAAAAAAACACAAAAGCAGATGGACAAACGGGGAGGGGTTTCCGCTCTTCCCGTTCCCACAGTGGGGAGAGTGTTCCCCTTTCTTTCCTGGCGCCACATGGCTTCCCCTTTTTCTTTCTCGTGCGGCAGACCAAACGACCTTATACTATAATCTTCAACTCCACAAATCTATAGTCGCGTTTTAACTAACGTTTAAGTAATTGTTTGGAAACGAGCTTTTGAATTGGCATTTTAACTACTCCGTAATTTTTTAATAACATAAGTTAGTTCTGAACATATTAGTACTCAATGTTACCATTAGATAATTTTTTTAAAATAAAGATGGACACTAAACCTCTTATTAAACGGTTTCTGAAATTAGCATTTGACCATTTGAATTATACAAAACATATAATATTTTATAGTGGAATCTAATTTTAATAACTATCTGGAGAGTCTTAAAATACTGAAATCAATCAAGCATAATCTTACTAGATACTTAATTTGTGTTTGTTGCTTGTATTCGTTGCAACACAATCAGAAGCCCTAAACCCTTAGTTTGGTTTTGTTGTTGATCGGAGGTCTAAATCTTGTTGATCGAGTCGAGATTTTAGGAGTCAAAGGGTTCATATAGCTTCAATATCAATGGTGGTAGATCTTGTGTAATAAGCTTCATATTAGACTGTTAAATTTTAAATCTAGTGTCGTCATAGTATTGTTTATGGTTAGATATCTTTGGGGTGGTGTTATATTGTGTATTTGTGTTATCGATTTTGATGCTCGTGCAGTTGGTTAGACCAAAAGGTCTCGTAGTTTTTTAATAATTTATGTTGAAAGAATTTTCTAATTGAGTTAAAAATTTTGTACTCCCTATTTTTTATAAGTGTCTGTTTGGTATATGAAATTAATGGAATTGAAATTCAATTGGAATTGAAATTCCATGATATTCAATTTCATATAATTGAATTCACCAATTCCAATTCGTTTTTTGCACTATCAATTCTAAAATCCACATAATTTTTGTACTACCAAACACCAGAATTGGAATTGAAGTCCTCAATTCCAATTCCATAGTTTGAATTCCATGTATCAAACAGGGTCTAATTGTATTTGTGTTTGGATCAACTTGATTCTCATCTTGGGCACGACACTTATTTGTGTTTCTCTTCCCAATCGATTAAACATTGACGTGAAGAGTACATGTTTGGAGAAAAAAACTGTTTGTTTAGTTTATACAAGATTCATCATAGAAGTAATTTGCTAGTAAGTGCAGGAGTAATTACTCAAATCATACGCATAAAAACTTAATAACACAAATTCATTTACAATTAACATCCAAAGATAAAAATAATGATACAAATAAATGAATCAAATATTATGCATAAAAATCTACACTTGAGAAAAACAACAATAAGGAGTATTTATTTTGGGTTGGAGGCATGGTTGACGCCAGGTGGTGGCCGGTACCGAACATCGCCGGAATCTTCGATTCATCGTCGGCGATTGACGGTGGTGGCGATGGAAAAAGAGGCTTGATGGCCACTAGAGCGACTCAGGCCACTGCTAGCCATAGAAGCGGCGGCGGCGGCAGAAGGGATCATCGAACCTGCAGCAGCTCTGTTGCTGAAGCTCCTGATAACATTTCGGGGAGAGCGCTGATCGGAGAATCGGTCTCGGAACTCATCGGAGATCTGGATCCTCCGGCGAGAAGAGCCGTCGGGGGAATCGGATCCGACGAGCAAGTGGTAGCTCCTGTTAGAGGCGTCGGAGAGGCAGCGGCCGAGGGCGTGGTGATGGGGCGGCCGTTGCTTCTTGAGGGCGTGGACCAGATATGGGATTAATCCTTCCATTTCTGAATTCTCAGAGCTTGATTTAATGATGATGATGATGATGATGAATTGTGTATAGATAGATGGAATAGACCATAGCTGACATTGTATTTATAGGTGGGAGAAAATTGGGTGTTTGATCGGATCAATTCATAAACCATCAAACTCAAACCTGCCACCAGATTTTGAGTCACAGCTCCAAAAATTATCTCCCAATTGCTATTACAATATTTGACTAAAGTCATTTTTAATTTATTTTTTATAAAAAAAATGATATATAATTAAAAATTACATATTTCAAAAGTAATCAAAAGATCTACTCCCTCCGTTTGGAAAAACCCTTCCCATTTGATTTGGGGGCAAAAATAAGGAAGTGTTAAATTATAGTTAATTTCCAATTTTGCCCTTGATGTGATGGTTAGATTATTAGAGAAAAAGTATGATGTGATAGGTAGGGTATGAAAAAGTAAGGGTAAAAGTGGTTTTTTAATAGAAAGGGGAAGTGTTTTGTTGGAAGTGGAAAAAATGAAAGAGGAAGTGTTTTTGAGAACGGAGGGAGTATAAAAAATGGAAATAACATGATAATGCTTCCTCTGTCCCTGAAAGAATTTCCCTTATTGACTTTTTAGAAAATGAAGGGAGGGATATTTTTGTGTTGACTTTCCAAAAATACATTTGATGTGATGGGTAAAAATAAGATGTGATGGATAGATTATTACTCCCCCCGTCCCTAAATATTTGCCACATTTGTATTCCCGAGGCAAAATATCAAGTTTTTTCAATTCATTTTATTTACATATTGGTTTAGAAATAAAAAATAAAATTTACATATAAAAAAACTACATGAAAAGTTCTTCGAAATAAGAAATGTCAAGAATATTTTATTTTATCAAATAACCAATGAAAACGTAGAAATAAACAAAAGTTCCCGCGACTGCTGAAAAAGCAAATGTGGCAAATAATTTGGGACGGAGGGAGTAGTAAAAAGATATGATGTGATATGTAGGATACGAAAAAGTAAGTGATAAAAGTGTTTTTTAATAGATAAGAGAACATCTTTTGGAAACGACAAAAAAATGAAAGTGAAAGATCTTTTAGGAACGGAAGAATTATTATTTTATTAAATATGCAACAAAAATAAGTCAACAAAGTGAATGAAGATGGATCCTATGAATAGTAAATGAGAAAATAATTTTTGGACGGAGAGAGTATTTAATTTGATTTCATTAATATTTAATTTGATACCATCTGATATAATTTAGTTAGATTTAATTTAATTTTAATAAAATTAAGTATTTATGTCTCTGTACATTTCTCCAATTTTACCTTTTGAAGTCAAAATTGATAACTAAATAAATATTACATATCAATATAAAGATAATTTTACTGAATTTACTTCATAAAATATTTTCAAATATAATTTTATTTAACTAATATATCATATAATTTTTATGTAATTATAATTCAAACATAAATAATACGGAGTAATAAAAAAATCAAAACTAGATTAATATTAAGAGGAAGTTAACAAATACTCCGTACACGGTAACTCTTAACTGGTGTTGAATAAATATTAGCACTCCTTATGACACGGTTCTACGGGCGTAGGTATTTGACTTTGATTTAAGTCGTGAGTCGTGACAGTAAATTCCTTGTATAATTTGGACTTTAAATACACATGTTTGATCAGATAGAATTGAAAGGATGAGTCGCCCCTTCAGATCCGATCAATAAGAGGAGATAAATTGAATTTTGATCGTAAATTGGTGACAAAAAATGAAGTCTTCACTTGGTGCTTGTAGATAAAGGTCATGTGCTTAGTATAGTTGTCAAAAATCAAACACAAATTTTATCCCTTTTGCATTCATTCTCTTGCCAAATACGCAACGCTCCGCAACACCAGATAGAATTGAAAATGATGGAAAGGGGTGGATGCCACTAAGTCTGACGTCCAACTTCAAAACCAAATACTACATGCCACGGGCATGAATTTTAAGTTACAAAGGCATTTGGGTGTCCTAAAAGTGTGTAATTTTAATACTCCGTATTACTTTTTAATTTTGTCATCATTACATTATAATAAAATATGATATGATGTGTGCGTATTATATCTAGTCACAATAACTAAAAAATAATATCAAAATCAGTCATTTTTAGAGAATGTCTTTCTTTGTCTTTGAGAAGTTGTATGAGACGGAGGAGGTCCGTATTTAAGAAGTTAGAAACAAAATCTACAAAACTAGAAGTGACAGGCATGATATTATTTTATCAAATGGACAATAAAAATAGGATAACAAATTGAATAAAATATGACTCTGTGAACAGTGAACAAAAAATAATTTTTGAATGAAGAGAGTAATTTCATTCATTCCCATTAGCTTTTTTTTAAAAATGAGTATTGCTTTTAATACACTTTCAGAGTATGTACGCTACAAGATATGAAAAGAAAACAAAATAAGGAGTATAATTACATCATTATTACATAATAATGTCATCACCGGTGATTAATTAACCACCAGATGAAAAAGATGGTTTAGTGATAACAGCCGCAGCTATTTCTTTATTACAGCTGGAAAAATGGGGCATTAATAATTTTGACGATTTGGCAGCCGGAGATATCGCCGGAAAACCAGCGATCAATTCTTTCTTGAAGCTCTTTACCACGGAAAAGTGCTCCCGATCGAGAGCGGCAGGTGGCGGCAGCTGGAAGTCGGAGACGGTTATCCGGTGATGGGAAGAAGAGCCCTCCGCGGCGGCGGATTCACCGTCAGCTCCGACGAGCGGACGGTAGCTCCGGTTGGAGGTGTCGGAGAGGCACCGGCCAAAGCTGTAGGGGCGGCGGCGATGATGCCCTTGGTCGTTCTTGTTCTTCTTCATGGCGTGGAGCAGATATGGGATTAGTCCTTCCATTTCTTAGCTTGGATGTTAGCTCAGCTTGAATTGGATTAATTATTTAATTTGTTGATTCTTTTTTTGTGGTAGAAGTATAATTTAATCAACCATATATTATTATTGGTGGCATAACAAAGAAGTATTTATAGCTAGCTAGTGGGGGTGTACTCATGGACACGTAACAAATATTCTCTCAATTGACATTGAATCATCCTAATATGGGCTTAATTGATGATTCTAGACTAATCATTTAAAAAATTAATAATCCCAAACCACATATCTCTCTCAAGTGTACCACCAATTTTAGTTGGCTTTAATTTAGATTCAATAAAATTTGACTCCAAAGTTTTAAAATATTAAGAATTATACTCTCTCCGTCCATGTAAGATCTTCCCATTACGCGTTACGAGGCTTGACCGACTTTATTTTCAATTCAATTTAATTCATTATAGGAGTAAAATTTTAAAATAAAATTTATATAGTAATAAACTACATGAAAAGTTCTACAAAACTAGAGGTGACAAGACTATATTATTTTATGAAATGACTAGTAAAAATGAGCAAACAAAGTGATTAAAGTTTGACCTTGTGAATAGTGTCTGGGAAGATCTATGGTAGACAGAGGGAGTATCATACTTCTTATTCTTTATAAAATAATAAGACTTAATTGATATGGTTATATTATAAGAGAAAGACTAAAATATGAGTCAATTATAAGAGAAAATGAAAAACAAAATTTTACTCTATTTTTTTTGTAGTAAGACCTAAAATTTTAATCACGGCAACATATAATAAATGTACACGAAGATATAATATGGAATATCTATAGTCACAAAACAATAGTCTTATTTTATGATGACTAATAAGTTTATGATTTCTTCTATATTACGGAGTATTATACGGAGTACGAAAATGTGTTTAGAAAAAAAATGACAGACGAAATTGGTATATAAATAATGGTTATTGAGATGGGCACGCATGCGCGGTTTGACCTCTTTGCATTGATAGCGAATGACAATTAAAAAACAAAATTAAGGAGCATTTATGAGAAGTCAATCGGTGGTGAACGAGCTTTGAGAAATTAAATTGTTATTCTTTTCGTTCGAAAATGTTCTTTTCGTTTGACTTTTAACGATCTACAATGTTACATTTTGACCATTAATTTATATATTTATATATAGATATATTTTATAAAAGTTTGATATTTTAAAAATATGTTTCATTAGGATCGGAATATATTGATATTAAATTTATATCATAATACAATGTATTTTTTCCACAAATCGAAGTTAAATGTTACAAATTTTGACCAAGAAAAGTCAAATGTAAATAACATTTTCAGACGAAGAGAGTAAGTTTTAAGGGGAGAGCAAGTTTCAAACTTGTAACCTTTTAGAGTCTATTCTCTTCAACTTAGGGTTTGTTCTGTTCATCTAATATGATTTATTCTGATTTGATTGGATTAAAATTTGATATAGTCTGATCTGATTGTAGTTATATTTAAAGTTGTTTTTTATTTGATCGGATTCTAATAAGACTATGTAATAAGTAATAAAAATAAGTTGAAAAAAGAACTCTTATTTTTATTACTTATAACTTATTCTTATTCGAATCAGACCAGATTAGAAACAATTTTAAATATAACTACAATCAGATCAAACCATACCAGATCACACTCGATCATATCAAATCAAAGCTTATCTCATGAACTTTATAAGAATCAATCGATCATTTCAGGTGAAGGTGAAGAAAAAACGAAGTTAGTCAATAAATTCTTGTTTTCATACAATATATTTAATTTTAACAATTCAACAAAAACTTACGATTGTAAGCCTAGTAATCTTTTTATACTCCCCAACACATTCTTACTCTCGTTTTATGCCACATATTTATACATATCATAATGCGTCAAGTTTAGAAGTTTTTAAGTGAATATGCACTATTATCTTTCAATCTTTAGAGTGATTTTTACATGAACACATTGCATATGAAACATTGAAATTTATAAAATATTGTTAGTAAAAAAAACGGAATTAAAATAACCCACGTCTTCTATAAAGCAGATACTATAAAATAAGATGTGATCATTTCTTCCGAAAAAAGATGTGATCATTAATGATCTAAATTCTAAGATGGGGTAAATGGTTGGGCGGGAGTATTTGACCGGCGATTTCAAACCGACAGCACAGCTATTCATTTGTAAAAGTCTACCCCATCCATAATTTTTTTATTTTTATTCTTATTTTTATTTTTATTGTAAGAATCCAGTATCCATGACCTTTAAATGACGTGAGTTACTTTGGTTTATTGTGGAAAATATTAAGGGCCATGCTACACTTACACCACAAATTGTACACCATTTGTACACTACAGGTATACGCAAACATTTTGATGGTTTAAACCGACATAAGTGTTGGTGCGTTAAAAAATTTTTACACAGGCACAAAGTGTTTGTGCATTAACAAAAATTAGTTTTACACCAACACAAAGTGTTGGTACAAACTTACGGTGTACAAAATGGAGTACAAAATATGGGCTACATGTAGCTTTATCCAAATATTAAATATACATTATGTTACGTCCTTAAAATTAGTCTGTATGTTGAGTTACCGAATACCATGCAAATTATTAATTGATATTATTATTTTAAATGTTTTGGAGTTTAAATTCCAACAACATTGAGTCCTAGCAACTCATATTGTGGCCTACCTAATAATCTTATATTATCTACAATTCACCATTCTAATTTCTATTTTAAAAAATTCATATCTATACTAGCTACTTTCCGAGTAGGGGCAAGGTCTGCGTACACACACTCTCCCCAGACCCTACTGTTGTGGGATTCACCTAGGTTGTTGTTGTTGTTGTTTACCTACTATATATTTGACTTTTCACTCTTCAATTCTTTGTTTCGTTTTTTTAAACCGACAATCCATTGACCTCATTTCGTAGGGCAATGAATCACCCTTTGGTGGAAGGTAAGATCACACACACACAGAGATATATATAGTGATGACCATTGATGAAAATTGAAAATAAAGATAGTGAACTTCAAATGAAAGTAAGATCACATTTTCAGTTTTTTTGGTATGTATTACCAATTAATTATCGAACCAAAATATATTCTGTATTAACCATACCAAACTGATTTATTATGGTTCGGTATTCAGTACAAAAATCATTTTACTGATATTTCGGTGCGGTACGGTACGGTTTTACCGAATGAACAGCCATAATCCACATGTATAATTTGGACGGACTTTCTCTCATTTTTATGGACTTACGAGGGTATCTTGTTTTTCTATTTCATAAAAAGTCTAACCTTTTTATGGTGTTTATATATTAAGACACATCTACTAAGTGTATACCTTAAGACCACCTAATAAGAAAGTGTATTTGGGAAGTTCTCTTCAAAGATTGGTCCTAACTTACATGACCGAACATGGCACTCCGATCCAATCATGGGTGGCCCGGATGGTGTTTAAAGTGGCAAACCGCACAGGATCCCTAAAATTTTAGAGCTTCATATTTTTAAATTTATCATTAATTTTGAAGCGTAAGTATTCTAAAATAATAAAATAGGGCTCAAAATATAAATTTTGGACCCGATCAATTTCATTTTTTCGAGACCGACCCTGACTCCAAAGATCGACAAAGTTTTAAAGTTATACTTTGATTTTGGGATCAGAGTGTTTCTGCTCCAAGTTTGGATTGTGTTTGAGCATAAATAAACTTTCTTGGCCACAACCACAAGTTTGAGCTTTTGGTCGAATGAGTTCTTTGACATAGTATCGGAGTAGGTTTTGGCCAATCTCATTTGTCAAGGTGTCCGTCTAGACGTTCATTTCTAGCGGTCCGTTAGTCTTTAGCCCAGTTATCCGTATGGAGTATGTACCCAACGGCCTGTGGCCCGTTTAACACCATTCTATATTCTATCAGATTGTATACTAGAAAAAAATCATCAAATGATAAATACTCTCTTTGTAAAAAAAAGGGTTACGTTTCTTTCATGTTTCTTATCAAAATAAAAAAAATTTAACTTTCTTCGTCCAAAAACAATCCAACAGTTAATTATTTAAAAATTACAAGAAATTTTATTTATTATGTATTTATGTATTTTTATTGATTATTTGATAAAATAAAATATTCTTGTCATCTTTTATTTTGAAAATGTTTTGACATATTTTTTAATTATATAAATCTTATTTTATATTTTTATATCAATCTTTATATAAAATAAATTAAAAAATTTAAACATTTTTGGATAGATGGAGTACTTAATCTTATGTCATGTCCTCTTCACATGATGTGATTGTTTCTGATTTGATTAAAATAAGTTTTGACTAGGTGTGATTATTGTTTTATTTAAAGCTATTTTTTGATCTAATTTGATCTAATTCCAATAATAATAAGTAATATTTTATCTGTCCCAAAAAGATTGCCGCGTTACACTAAAAGAAGGGAAATTTCAAGTTTTTAAAAGTTATTTTATTAAAAGATTGGTATAGAAGTAAAAATTTATTTTCATATTTAAAAATCATGTCAAAAGTTATTTAAAATAAAATGTGACAAAAATATTTTATTTTATCAAACAATCAATTAAAATATATTATTAAAAAAATTCTCACGAGTTTTAAATAATAAATGGTGACATTTTTTCTAGACGAAAAACATACTCCGTAAGTAGTAATTTTTTTTTTTTGTTTTTGAAGAGAAGGCCTTACAATTTTACGTGGGTAATCATGTTCGTAAAAGTGGTAAAACGTATTTGAGCCAAAACAGTGGGTAAAACATGACACCATTTTCAAGTTTTCAATCTTTTTCACCTTTTTGGGACTCTGACTCAGTAAAAAGTTGCACACAAAACGAACCCCAATTCGGGAGTAGTTCAGGAAAAATGCACATTGATACAGCTTGAAGATTCTTGCTCTTCCCGGGTCTTAATCGGTATCTTTTTAATTGGAACATTTGAAGAAATGGGAAGTTTTGGAAGACCAGAAGGTTTAACCTTGCTAGGGTTTCTACTGCCGATCATACTTCAGTCGGTGTCGGGTCGGTTTGTGGTGGAGAAGAACAGTCTGAGGGTGATTTCACCGGACAACATCAAAGGCACCTTCGATTGCGCGATTGCCAACTTTGGGATCCCTCAATATGGGGGAAGCATGTCAGGGACTGTGGTCTACCCGAAGGATAACCGAAAGGGATGCCGAAAATTTGAGGATTTCGGAATTTCCTTCAAGTCCAAGCCTCCTCTCTTGCCCACATTTGTCCTCGTCGATCGTGGAGGTGCTAACATTTTCTTTCATGTTCAGTGTTTAATTTGAGGATGCCAATCATAATTGATTCAATACACCGGATAAGTATAATTGATTCAATATTTTAGCTGATTGTATTTGAATTTTTTCTGTGTTTCATTCATGGAAGAGCCTGGATGATTATTTCTTATTCTGCTTGTTTTAGTTATTCGTATCCGTTACGGACTTATGGTCATACGGAGTATTGATTGAACATTATCAATTTTGTCAGATCAAAAGTTTGCAGCTGTAATTGTTTTTCCCCACAAAATTGTAGTGTGATTGGGAAGGGACTGTGTTCTTAGCTATATGTGATTATTCTGCAAAGTTGAGACAATGTACTACTTTCTTGCAGATTGTTTTTTTGCATTGAAAGTTTGGAATGCACAGAATGCAGGTGCATCTGCAGTTCTAGTTGCAGATGACATGGATGAGGCACTGATAACAATGGACACTCCTGAAGAGGACGTACATGCGGCGAACTATGTTGCGAATGTAACAATTCCATCTGCACTCACCACTAAGGATTTTGGGGAGAAATTGAAGAAGGCAGTCAATGGAGCGGAAATGGTTACTGTAAGTCTTGATTGGAGAGAATCCGTTCCTCACCCTGATGACCGTGTGGAATTTGAACTATGGACCAACAGCAACGATGAGTGTGGTTTTAAATGTGACATGTTGATGAAGTTTTTGAAAGATTTCAAAGGTGCGGCACAGATCCTTGAAAAAGGCGGTTACACGCAGTTTACACCCCATTATATAACTTGGTACTGCCCTCAGGCATTCACCATTAGCAAACAATGCAAGTCACAATGCATTAATCACGGCAGATATTGTGCACCTGATCCTGAATCGGACTTTAGTTCAGGTTATGATGGGAAGGATGTTGTTCTTGAAAATTTGAGGCAGCTTTGTGTCTTTAGAGTTGCTAATGAGACCAGAAAGCCATGGATTTGGTGGGATTATGTGACTGATTTCCAAATCCGGTGCCCCATGAAAGAGAAGAAATATAACAAGGAATGTGCTGCTGAAGTAATAAGATCTTTAGGTACTTTATTAACCCTTTCAGAAAAAAGCAACTTGTTTCATCAAGATAAATCATACTCGTGCTTTTTAAATATTACGGAATACTTTTTAAAGCTAAATCTAACATTTTACTAGTTTGAAAAAATTCCATGGAAAAATAACATCAGATTCAATGAAAATTTGTTTCTTTTTAAAGTTTAAATAAGACTTTTAAAAGGGAAAGTATGTTCTGATTTTTTTTTGGGAAAGAAGTATTCCTCTTTTTTTATGGGATATGTAAACATTTATACGTAAAACAAGAGTTGATATTTGGATTATTTGTATTCAGGACTTGATTTTAAATCAGTTGAGAAGTGTATGGGAGATCCTAATGCTGATGCCGACAATCCTGTTTTGAAAGAGGAGCAGGATGCTCAAGTAAGTGTATCAAGATTTATTATTATTATTATTATAAGAGAATGCTTGAATCTCTGAAAATGCCATGAAAAGAAATGGTCTTATGTTTGGATTTAATTTGAAAAGTGAAATTCGCTCTAAATAGTACTAAAATATATGTCTTTTCCCAACGTAATACCTAAAACTTTTTGTTCCCTAAATAGTACATGAACAATGTCCGGGCAGATGGATATTTGCTTGAACAATGTTCAGTGGCAGTGGACATTTACTTGAACAATGTCCAGTGAACATTGAACCTCTGGTACTACATTGGGAAACTTGCTATGTTTTTGTACTATATAGATAAATTCCCCATTTGAAAAAGGCAGATGAGAGTGACTATGAATAACTTTTATTTAAAGTTTACATTTATTTGTCAGAGTTTTCATATAATATAGATAAATAAATAAAACGTAGTTGAACAATTATCTAATATTCTAATCTAAATGTGTTGATAATGAACATATCTTTTTATCCTTCTATCATTCCCAAAAAAAATTTTCTCTAGTAATTCCAAATGAACCCTCACAATATGTTTGGTTATAGGAATTCCCAAAGGAAAAGAAAAGAAAATGGAGTGGAAAAACAGTTTTTCTTGCTTGGTTAGAGAGGAAAAGAAAATGAGAGGAGGAACTTAACTCAGAGGAAAGAAAACAAATTCCCTTTCACTTTGGTGAAGAAAGGAGAGAAAACATCTTTCTTTTCCTTTCCTTCCCATTTACCCAAAACCAAAAATAACATGACTGTTTCAACAAGTTTTGTTTATTAAGCAGTCTTGACATTGTTAAAACTTTTGCAGGTTGGTAAAGGATCACGAGGTGATGTCACCATATTGCCCACCCTTGTAGTAAACAATAGACAATACCGAGGTTAGACTAACATACTGCTAATTGTAGACTTTATCTTTGTAGGAGACCCAACCTTCATCTCAAATAATATGTGTACTTGCAGGGAAGCTGGAGAAAGGTGCTGTTTTAAAGGCTATTTGTGCTGGCTTTGAGGAAACCACGGATCCTGCTGTGTGTTTGAGTGATGGTATGTTTGCAACTTTGCTTTAAGCAATGTCCTGGATGTTTTTTTTCTGTTTTCCATTGCTTCAATTTGAATGCATATATTTTACTACAGATTTAGAGACAAATGAATGCTTGGACCACAATGGTGGCTGCTGGCAAGATAAATCTGCCAACATCACAGCTTGCAAGGTTCTTTTCTTACACTAAGGCCCCACTTGTTTCCAGAAAATAGTTCCATGGACTCTGTCTTTTTCTTTTTCTTTTCTTTTTTAGTAATTTTTTTGTCATGTCGGACCCCATAAGACATTATATCACACGGAGTATTATTATACTCCTCCTGCCCCGTAAGACATTATATCTTATTTCCAATTTGTCACACAATTTCTTCCACTTTCTGTTTAAGGGAGAGATTTTGGGGTCCATATACTGAGCCAAGGGTCCCTTGCTCTTCCGGAAACAACCTCTCTACTTCATAGTAGGGGTAAGGCTTGCGTGCAGCCATACACACACCCTTCCTAGATCCTACTTTTTGTGTGATTTTACTGGGTTTTTATGTGTGTGGTCCATATTATTTCCCTTTCCTCTAAGTTCTGACAAACTACAACCATACAACTTCTACTTAATTAAATAGTGTAAATCCCATACAAGAAGATAATTATGAGACAGAGGGAGTACATATAACAACTTATTTTATATCAAATCGTTTATTTATAGTAAAACATTTATCCCACATTGCAACAGAGCCTTAGTTCTTTTTATTCTTCCCTATTAAAGTTTTTACATTATTAACTAAATGCCACGTTATGCAATATGTATGCAGGACACATTTCGAGGAAGAGTGTGTGAATGCCCCACAGTTGATGGTGTGCAGTTCAAAGGAGATGGTTACAGTTCGTGCAAGCGTGAGTATAAAGCATATTCATTCAACATGTATTTGATTATGCATGTTTCCTCTACCCCCTTTTGATTCATTCAAATGATTCCATATTTTGCAGCAAGTGGACCTGGCCGATGCAAACTAAATCACGGAGGCTGTTGGCATGAAACACGAAATGGGCACACCTATTCTGCTTGTGTGGTCAGTTCTTGTGCGGATTTCTTTTTCCTATCACAATAATACTTCCTCCGTCCCGAAATGATCTTCCAAATGGCAATTTTGGGTGTCCAGAATGGATCTTCCTATGCCACTTTTTGTCATACTAAATGCCATAGTTACCCAATCTCTCCTCTTTTATTACACCCCACCCACACACCATCAAATAATGAATCTTTTCCACCAAGAGAGGCAAATGCACTAGACGTGATTAAAACAGAGCACATACCAAAGAGGTTAAGGCACTAGAAGGAAATTTTCACTCTGAATCTGATTGGAAATAAATAGCAACGAGGCTTTCCTAATACCTTACAGGTGGAGGCTGTTGTTGTCCATCAAGTTAAAATAGGAAAGATTTTATTTGAAACGGAAGTAGTATAGTAATACTTTAAGTCTATCTAAATTCATCCGCTTTCAGGCCAACAAAGAATCACAGGACCCTCAAATAATGAATTTAGTGAACGCACATACTAACAAAAAAAGCAGCCCAATATTTTATTCAAATATGTAAAATCTTACTGAATTTCTAACTATCATCTTTATTTTTTGTTGAGTTGGTTTCTCCAAAAACTAATCAGATTTTAAAAAGATAAAATGAGTCCATCCTTATTGCAAAACATTAAGGGTAAAGTGGATATTTTCCACTGCTTTTCAACTCTTCTTAAAATGTGTGGAAAGTTAACTCCTTAAAATGCGTGGAAAGTTAACTTGGGAAGATTATTCCTGGATGGAGGAAGTATTATCTACTCCCTTAGTCGAGGTTTAGCTGTCCACTTTCTAAAACTCATTTTTAAGAAATGAGTTAAATATTCTTTAAATGAGTATGTCACCCATTCATGTCAACATTGCTAATACCCTGGTTGCTGAGGACATTGCACAACCTTTGCCCAGCCTCCAAGCTTCTTTTGGTTTAGCCTGCGTGCCAACTTTTCTCCTGCTCGGGTATGCCCGTTCTTGAATTGTATATCCTCTTTTGGGTTTCGATATTATATTCACATGTTACCCAAAAAAACATTGCTTATACCATCCCTAGGATATGTTAGACAATTCTTCCTAATTGCATCATTGAATATGGAAATTGGACAACTGATTCCACACAAATAAAAATGAGAATGTGGGCAACTAAATCCTGATGGATGTAGTGTTTATTTATTTACTTTTTTTGTTCTCATATTCCCCTGTGTGAAAAGCTGTTTAGATTTTATAACCATAGTTTGCTGTCAACAGGATGAGGAGGAGAGCAAGTGCACATGTCCTCCTGGGTTTAAAGGTGACGGTAAAAGTTGTGAAGGTAACACATTTAATTAATTTTCACTTCAATATTACTCCATATATTTTTTAGCGTATTAGCATCAAGAAACTCGTGATGGTTTAAGGCAACTCTAAGTTCGGGCCATGAATGGTCATCGAAAAAAGGATGTTATTATTGATTTACTGAATGCTTGATGTGAAAGTTAGAAATAAAAAATTGGTCTTTATTCATTTCTTTGACATTTAAATAGATGTTGATGAATGCAAAGAAAAGAAGGCATGTCAGTGCCCTGAATGCAGCTGTACAAACAATTGGGGTGGCTATGAATGCACATGTAGCGGTGACCTACTCTACATCACCGACCATGATACTTGCATTAGTGAGTTCTAAAATTTATTTAGTTATGCTAAGGATATAATTCCACATCGAACACCCAAACTAAAAAAGTATAAGAATATGAAATACTCTTCCCATGGTCAATGGTTTTGGCTTGGAATCTCACATACTCTTCCCATAGTCAATTGGTTTTGGCTTGGAATCTCACCATTCTACAAATCATTCTACATGTATTACTCGCTCCATCCCAAAAAACGGGTTCAATTTAAAAAGTCAACTCTAGTTTTAATTGTAGCTCATGTGGCTGTTTAAAGCAAGTGGTTTTAGTCAATTACACCAAACACTCTTGAAAACTTTAACACTATGTTTTGTTCAAGGAATTTGAAAGGGAAACGAAAAGAAATTAAGATGGAAAACAGTTTTTCTTGTTTGGTTAGAGAGGAAAAGAAAAGAAAAGTGGATGGAAAAGAAAATAAAAAGGTAAAATATACTAAGAGGAGGGAAAACCAAATTCCTTCCATTTTGGTGAGAAAAATGAGAGAAACTCATTTTCTCTTCTTTTCCTTCCTAATTCCTTGAACCAAACATAGTGTAAAGTGTACATTGGTTGAGTTGACTAAAAATAAAAGATTGTACCTTACTCAAACAAGATTCTTTTTTCTTTGGGATGGATGGAGTATTTGATATATTAAACACATGAACACAATGAGATACACAAGTGATAATTGCATAATGCTGATTCTCAAATGCAGGCAAAAAGGCCGCTGAAGTCAGATCTTCGTGGGCTGCTCTTTGGGTCATTTTGATAGGACTGGCCATGGCTTCCGGTGGGGCATATCTTGTATACAAATATAGATTTAGGGTAAGCGTGAAATCTTCCATCCAGAATAAACCCCATTTAACTTAAGTAAAAAAAATTTGTTCGTATTATTAGTTCATCACCCATGGCTACGCTTGTGGTTTGTGATCTAACCCTTTTTTTGTGTTGGTGTCGATGTGCAGTCATACATGGATTCTGAGATAAGGGCCATAATGGCGCAATACATGCCACTAGACAGCCAAAATGAAGTCCCAAACCACGTTTCTGAAGATCGTGCTTGAAGGACATTGACTCGCTGCAATGCATAAAAAGAAAATGTATGAATTTCCCAAAAAGTACAGGGAGAAGTGGTCTTATCCTCTTATATCATCAGTTTTCCTCTTCTTCTTCTTATTATTATCATGGTGTTATGAAATGCAGGAACTAAACACCTCTTACTCAGTACTCAATTACCCAAATAGGGTTTTGTTGAGGGAGAGATGTAAATGATCAATGTGAGATGTATGTGTATGAACTTAGAAACTCTGTTTGGTTGGTGTAAGCAGGAAAAGTGGTAGCTGGATGATGTGGGGCTCTGTTTATGTGGCTCCCCTCCTCCTATGGTTATGGTTAGTGACCACATTTAATCACTACTCATAAATCTGGTCTATTATGTAGTGATTGTGACTAATATTATGATTTGTAATTTTGTATGTACATTTTGTATCCCCACTCTTTGTACTCTTATTAATGTTCCCACTTTTGACTATGTCAAGAATAATACGGAGTAACATTATGAGTTTCATCATGATAGTCCGAAGCTTCTGATAACCTTTATTTCTGTATGTGTTTTATTGGTCATTTGATAAAATAAAATATTTTTGTCATTATTTTTAATATGTGAGTTTTACTTTTGATTTTATACAGAATTCTAAATAAAATCATTTTAAATTAGATGAAATTTTGCGTGTTGTTCAAAAGATTAAAAAAAATTTCGGGACGGACTGAGTACAATTTATCGTTGCATTTGCTGATACACATTTTATTAGGGATGAAACATATATTTGGATTTTGGACTGACCAAGTTCTAAATAATGTACATGCTTTTAAATTTGGGACATAGGAATAATATAGTTTCACTAATAATTTTTTTCAATTATCCATATTTGGTGAATAAAGTCAACAAAATAAGTTCAGCCCTTACTCAAATTTACTTGTTTTATCACAAAAGTGTGTTGAAAAAGTTTGTTGTGCATTTGTGGTTTATTTTCATAAAGCACAGAAATTTTAGTACTCATCCATTCCAAAAACATAAAATTACTCTTCATTATTCAAAAGTAACAATTTTTTATTATTATTTGTACATTTTGATTGTTTATTTAATAAAATAAGATAATTTTGATACTTCTTATTTGATTATTTATACTAAATAACATAATTTTTAAAAATATAAATTTTCTTTTAATTTCTATACTAATTTTTAAATAAAATAAATTTAAAAACTTAAAAAATTTCCTTCCTCCGTCCCAAATTATAATGTTTGTTCACTATTTACAGGGTCAAACTTCATTCACTTTCTTTCTCTATTTTCGTTAGCAATTTGATTAAATAAAATATTATTGTTACTACTAGTTTTATAGATCTAGTATTTGATATGTAATTTTTATTTTTTAATTCTAAAGTCTGAAACCAAAACACAAGAACAATGTCTAAAATCGATCGTCAAAAAGACGGGTGATGAGGATGGTGTGAATTCGTGTTCGATCGCAGAAATTCCAATCCAGCTGAGATAAACCTTCAATTCAACAGTTTGATAACTTTGATCTCAAATCCAACAGTTTCAGCTTCAATTCATCCCCTACAATGGTGGTCTGTAAATGCCGAAAGGTATTTCGTCCCTCAAATCTCTCTTTCCTTTCTCTTCTACGCGTCTCTATATGTAATTATACGCTTCATGAGGAGCGGTCGTTCTGTCTATGCCAGCACAAAGCGCTTGTGGTGTGATCAATAGATCTGATCGACTCGGTCATCTGCATTATGAAACGCTTTCTTCATTTTGGATTTTAACTTTTCAATGTTTTTTAGTTCGAATATATATGAACCTGGATTGGAGTTATGAGTAGAGGAAATGAGACATATTTTTAGGTTGATTTATGCTAAATTAAGGTGATAGGGAAATGTGGAAGGGGTGATGTTTAGGCCATTGTTGAGTTTCCTCAATAATGATTGTTGTTTATTGGCCAATCCTTGTTTAGTTTGATTACTATGAATACTGTTGAAATTCAGCTTATTGTGATGGCTTACCGTGTGTTGATGTGGTTCCAGGCTACTAAGCTGTACTGTTTCATACACAAGGTACCCGTTTGTGGAGAATGCATATGCTTTGCACAACATCAATTATGTGTGGTATGATTTCATGCTCATAGTCTCTTCATATACATTTCTAGTATCATGCATTATGTATCTTTGCGGTTTTCTGCATTTAAATATGGCCATTCCTTCCGATTCTCACTTTAATTCAGTATGAAGGTGAACGTATGTTGAATTGCCAGTTTCATTTTCTCCTTATTTTATTCATTCTAGATAACTTTTAAAAGATGATTGCCGTCGTCCTAGGTCCGTACATACTCTGAATGGGTCATTGATGGAGATTATGATTGGCCTCCAAAATGCTGTTTCTGTCATAATGTGCTTGAAGAGGCAGCCGATACTCAAACTATCCGATTGGGTTGCTTGCGTATGTATTTCAGCTGATGTAATTTAACAATTCTGCTGCCAGTGGTCCTATTGGGATGTAATGCATTCACGTTTATAAACTTACGTTACTGTGTTCTTTTTTTGCGTGTGTGTAGATATAATACACAAAAATTGCTTTCTATCACACGTGAAAGGTTTTGCACCACATACTTCTCCACCTGGATATGTGTGTCCAGCCTGTTCAGCTTCAGTAAGTTCTACTTCTAGAAGTTAATCGTCTTTTCTTACTTTAACTGGAAGTTTAGAGAAACCTGTATTACCGAAAAATGATTAATGATAAGTTGGATTGTGGGGTGTTTGTTTAAAAATTCAGAATAAGCCCTGAGATATTGCTCTTATATATTCATAGTTTTTCAATGCAAATATCTTCATTCTTTGTTATAAATAGTTAGTTGGACTAAATAGGTTAAATCCAACTGATTTTAAATTCCTGGTTCCAAAGTTTGAAAGAAATAGAGAGTAGTTGGGAATGGAAGTGATCTTGATCATGAGAGCCAATGGAGTTTAAAATACTAGTAATATTTTCTAACTCATCCGTGAGGAATGTGTTTTTCTTGATATAGATTTGGCCCCCTAAAAGTGTCAAAGATTCAGGATCTTCTCTTCATTCAAAACTGAAAGAGGCAATTCTGCAGGTACTTTTGTTTATTTAGATTTTGTGTCGTGGTGTCTGTACTGGCTTGCTACAAAATTTGGTCACTTCTTGTTGCTGTGCAGACTGGTCTGGAGAAAAACTTATTTGGAAATCATCCTATATCTTTGCCGGCAATAGAATCTCGAGATCCTCCACCTGCTTTTGCTTCAGATCCATTAAAACAAATTTCTATTGCTGACCCTGGTGTAAAAGATGTTGAAGGGTACATAACGCCAGGTGCAATAGGTTCGGGGAAGCCTTCCACCTTTGATATTGTAGAGACAGATGGCCCACATCCATCTACTTCGCCTCAGTCCAATCATGAGCCTGGTTTTTTTAAGAGCGCAAGCCCGCATGGTGTAAGTAATTTTTTAGTGTACGATAGGTGACAGGCTCTCTATGTATATCATTGATGTATGCATGGATGCTTGATATCATGCATGGGTGATATATGCTGTTTTTAAAGTTAGTGCTTGGCATCTTTTATACCACATGAATATCTACAAATTGCATCCTTCCCAGCCTGGCGCTACCACACGAAAGAGCATGATGCAAGTTGATAAACAAAATTCTGAAGCTTCATATTATGCCGACGATGAAGACGGAAACATAAAAAAATACTCCAAGAGAGGTGAGAGCATGTTATGATGCTCTAGTGTGCATATTAAATATGGACGTACTACTTGTGAAATGCTCTGTCCGTTCGTTAATAACTGTCCATTAAGGATAAGTTGTGATTGTTTTGAAGTGATTATTGATTTTGTCAACAAACATACCCCTATTGCCTATTGTGTCTAGGCTCTGAAAATGATTATTTGAATATGTTTTTACTTTAATGGTCTGTTAAATGGGCAATTATTTGTTAAACGACAGTTATTTGATAACGGATGGAGTAGGTTCTTGTGAGCTCATTAACTCAATAGACACATGAAACTGCTTTTTCAAACTGTCTTTGTTTTGAGGACCATATGGTATGAAAACGGAAGCCTGCTGCGCTGTGATTTTTACTGCACTATAAAGATTGTTGATGGCCAGATATATGTTTATTTTTTTCTATAGGTACATTTCGACATAAATTTCTTAGATCTCTGCTGCCTTTCTGGTCAAGTGCATTACCAACACTACCTGTAACTGCACCTCCACAAAAAGAAACATCTAATGTTGATGACGTGGCAGAAGGTCGTACACGACAACATAGATCATCTTCCAGAATGGATCCAAGAAAAATTCTCCTCGTCGTAGCACTCATGTAATGCTGCTTACTTCTGCCCACTCAACCCCACCCCCTACCCCAACTTTTTGATTTGTGAAGTTCCTCTTTTCCCCCTCTATTCAAGACTTGATGATATAGACTTAAATGCATATGGTGGGAGACGTGACGAATAGGATGGACCATAGATTTTGCTTCAGGACGGCTTAAAATGCTAACGAGCTGTTGTTTGAACATGTAGGGCTTGCATGGCAACGATGGGCATCCTGTACTACAGAATCGCACAGAGTGATCCGGAAGAGCTTCCTAAAGATGGGCAGACTGATAGTGTATCATTTGAAAGATGAAGACTATCATTTCAACCAAACAATCTCGTTGTCGGTACGTTCCCTTTTATTTGGCTCTTCTGGGGTGCATATGGTTATTCTGTAAACTAAATAGATGAAATCAATCATTGCCAAAATCTTCTTGACTTTTTTCCCCCTTCACCTTCTCCCTCCTCACTCTGAAAAAGAGGCGAGCAATACAATAGATCGATTACTATACATACTATAAAAGTGCTTATTATTTTGTGAAATTTGTGTGGAGCATTTAATATAAATAAATAAAAAAAAAGTTGGGGACTTGAGTTTATTTGAATAGAATACTCCACTCCAATCCACAACTTTTTTGCATGTGTGGAACAATGAGTTGGCTTTTCAAGTTTCAACACGAGAGCACAAACATTTTGAAAGAGTTTTCCAACTTGCAGGTGAGGAATTATTAAATTCCCACCTCTATATCCGGAGCACAAGTTTTGACTCTACTTTTTCTTTCCCATTTTTTTTAATACTAGTAATGCTTGGTGCATGCACATCAATCCCATTTTCTCATCACTTCAAGCACTAATAATAAATCTTATGTGTGAATTGTAAAAATGGGGTTGATTTGATATTTGTACACTTTGTTGGTGTAAAAAAGAGATTATTGCAATATATATGGGGTAAAAAGGTTTAATTGAACTTGATCCACAAGTGTTTGGCACTTTGGCGTCACCAATGAGTTTTCATCACGTGTTCACATATGCTCTTGCATAGTTCGAAGTGAATGTATGCTAGTCATATATCTTATCTGGAACAACTAATTATAAAATTATAAGGGTACTATTATATGCTCCCACGTTGTGAGGAACATTATTTTACATTATCATGTCCGGGACAAGGTTAAGGACAAGATTAGAGCTAACTATTAATG